TTTTCTTCTCCCGAAGCAAAGCAGCATTTCTGGACATCTCTAGCTTTTTGGTTTTCCCCCCTATAGAAGACCTGATGGCAAACAGACGGCCTGAAGCCACATCCCCATCCAAAAGTGTGGTGCAGGCTTGAAGAGTTTGTTCCGATGGCGTCTGTGGTGTTTGAGGTTGCGTGGGTCAGGCTTACTACAATATGTTAACACTTTCAAGTAAAGTTTTTCTTTGGGATGGGCATTGAGTAGCGATACGAGAGCCATATTTCAACCGAAATGTGAAGGTGGTGGTCAGGGGAAGGGGATCAGTTATTTGAAGGTCAGGGTATATTGAAATGCGCAGTTGACTTCTGACGTTTCTGGTTAACTTTGAGCAATGTACGTTCTTTTCCCTGTCCTTGACCACATTTTACACAACAGGCCAGAAAACAAAATATGATACTAAGAATGTTCTAGTTTTGCAAAAATAAAATGGTAGGTCAAATTTCATGCCTGTGTAGAGATCTGGTACGTGTAAACTCACCTTTCCTCCCACCTGGACCTTTTAAGTATTTAAGACTGAAGTGTTTGACCCAGTGGTGTGGAAGTGGCAGAAAGTCTAACCAGGTCAGATGGACTTTGAACTCCAGTATTAGACTCTGGTTTTCAAAAGTTGGGGCCTTTGATAATGTAACACCCATCTATCATCTGTAAAGAAAATTGTGGCTTTTCTTTCTTGGGTTCTGGCTTTTGGTGTTTTCTTGGTTGGTTGGTTGGGGTTTTTTCCTGATCAATGGTAGAATTAAGGCATAAAGGAAATGAGTAAAAAATCTGTGTCCTGTGAAAAGTATACATCCTTTTTAGGCTGTGCCTTCTAAACACAAGCGTATTTTTCATTTTTGAAGAGAGAACAAGCATCTTATGAAGGGAAGCAAATCAAACAAATTGAACAAACCTCTACAGAACAGTTTTACTCCATCATGCATATGATGCTGAACTCTTTACTTACCCCTAGGGTTATAAGGTATAATTTTCTAAGCTGTAGCAGTGGTAGGAAGGCAATAAGCCCCTGGATTTCATCACGGTA